AAATTGAACACTGCAAGTGATGGTACTCTCAGTTCTGTTCCACTGGCCTTTAGTTTGAGCATTTCAGACACCAATTCTGAAGCCTTTAGTTGTTCATCGTTTCTGGAGAACAACTGAAGTGTCAATTTCGCTTAATTATACGCGAGGGATGAGCTGGGACAGGAAGCCATAGCTTTGTGGGCCTACACAGGTGATCAAAACAAAGTCGTGACACAGCATGGACACATTCCGACCCGCAGACTTCGAATGATTGTAAACATTTAATATTTTTCGATCCTAAAAAGCTCCTGCTGTAGATTTAGATGCAGTTATCAACGCGTGACCACGACTCCTTTACGATTCGGTGGAAGATATACGAAATTCATGCGAGCGAGAGCTGCACACTGTGACGTCAGATTCGGTGAAAGATATACGAAATTCTAGCGAACGAGAGCCGCACATTGTGACGTCAGAATGTCACCAAACTGATTCGGCTTTTGTCGTTTTTTCCTCGGAAAGGTGCAACTTTAAAGCCTTATAACTTCTAAACTAATTGGAATTTTGCAAAAACAACGACTTTGCCATAACACGCGCACCAGATGCTAACTTTTTAGTCAATAAAAAAAATTTTTTTTTGGCTGGAGAGGCCCTTTAAAAACGTGATTATAGTAAATGTCTTGTCAAAAGTCAGCAGGAGAAATAATTTATGCGATGAAAATATTGAAATACCAATAAGAAACAAAACAATTTCAGGTAATGAAAAATAACAAAAAGGTTCATTATCAGTGCATTTGCTCAAAGTCATTCATTCTGGCAAAAGTGTCGCTTTGCGAAGGAATATAGGCCAACGCCACAAATTTCAAAGTGGAGAGGAGAGAAATTTATGAATCGATCATAAATTCAATTGTTTTTTAAAATCTTCGATATTTCTAGGTCAGCAAAAAGGGAAGCCGGAGGTATAATACGAGGTTTAAGTATATTGTGTTCTGCACCACTAAACCTCAGACATTTCGCAGCACTTTTCACTGTTTCGGTTCTCTGTTTATTCAAGAGGTATTTTTTACGTGGAATGTCAAGCAATAGTCAAATATTCTAAGTGACAAAGAGAGACAAAATAATATGCGCCAGAGGTTTGTTTACCGTATACGTATTTTGAATCAGGGGCGGATACAGAGCAAACTTGAACGAGGGGCAGTTGGTAGTGGGGGCGCTGAAATTCTTTAAAAATTGGCGACGAGAGTACGCTGAATACACCAATTTCAGATCCATGTTAAGAATAAACAACATAATTTTAAAGGTAATCCTTGAAGCAAATTAACCTATTCGTCTCACCTGATCACCAAAACTTGTTCACCTGATTCTACTTCTTCAAAACGGACGAAAAATTTTCAAAAAGGGGCGCCAGACTCGCTTCAACTCGTCCAGGGAGAGGCAACTGCCCCCCCCCCTTAATCCGTCACTGCTTAGAATGCTTTCGTTAGGATTGGTGCATTGAATAGTCCTTTACCTTGTATTGGAAAGTGCTGTTTAATGTTTTTTCTACTCTAATCCAAATAATATAATAAAAATTGTGAAGATTGAAACGGACGTTTCACACAGTTAACTTGAATAGATCATTTAAAAGGAAACCACTGGTCTTTGCGAACATAATGTTTTTATGTGACACGTTACTTGAAGAATTTTTGTTTCTAATGCAAACTAATGCAAACAAACCTTTATCGTGAAAAATTTACGGGGATCTCCTTAGGGGACTCTTTGGAGTTGCTCGAACTCCAACCTACGTCGGTTGCGCCACTGGTCAGTATCACTTGACAGGCAACGAAAGCTACCGTTACATACAGAAAAGTCTTCCAAACAGATTTTGCCTCTTTTACAAAATGAAGAAACTGTGTCGCAGCCAGTAAACGCGTACCAAAATAAGAGGCCAAAGAAAAACCTTTTCGTCTAGTAGGTAATCGTGGATTGGTAACAATATTTTGTCTTTTCTTGTCCAAAACTCGTTCCAAAGCTGTAATCAAATGAGCTGACAAAACAATGCAATTGCTTTTATGATAATATCAGTTTCAACCGTATTGGCCCCAACTCTTCAATGTACTCTTCACGTTGTTACAGAGCTTTTAGGGCGTTTTGGGGGCATTATGTCAAAAAAGATATAGGAGCAGACCAAGAAGGGAATGGATAAGAGCTCCCTAGTCTGATAAAAGCTCTTAAAGGTGCTCTTGAGATGGGGTCTGCATCTCATATTATTCAGTATGTCAAATTACGCCAGAATAATAAGTTTCGTGTTTAAAACTTGTATAGTTTGAACGATGGCGAGGAAGACCCGAAGGAGGACTATGTACAAGTATATAAATTTTCGGGCAAATTTTCGAGCCATTCGAAACGGCAAGGGAGTAATCACAAGACTAGCAGAATACTAATATTCCAGCTCAAATTAATATGGATTCCTTGGAATGCCATATTTTGTTGCACATGAAGCTACTGTTAGATGTTGCTGAAAATCTAAAATATCATAAAAAAAAGAAACTGAACGAAGAGGCAGTGGTTCATGATGCCAGCATGATTTTGGGCCTAAGTGATGAGGTGATATCGGATGCTCTCAAAAATCTTGCAAAAGCTGACATTCTGGCTTTTCGGGATAATATGTGTATAAATCACAAGAATAGAATGGATCTCTCAAAGTGTCTGGTAGCAAAATTCATGGAAAAAACTCCAGAGACTTCGACAGATAGCTTGGATTCAGAACATCATCAGCCGCATGCCCCAAGCTTTACCACTACCTCGCCCCAAACATCCCCGGTTCCAAATGGCATTTACAGCTCCTTTTCCCATCTGGCTTCCTCCTTTGTAGAGGTTCAGAAAGTTATCGAAAAGGAAAGGGAATTAAATCGATGGTTAATAATTGAGAATGCTAAATTTAAATCGCAACTAGGAGATTCTGCCGTAGCGGTTGAAAGCCCAAGCAGGTGTGAAAGTCATTCAAACCCTGACAATGATGCCATTGAGAACAAACAAACACCAATTGTCCTCGAAGATATCAGATCGAGAACAACGATTGAAATCGCTGCAAACAGAGCTAAAACCAGCAAAAAAGGAAAATCGAAGTTAAAGGCTTCTAACTCGTTGCAAAAAAAGATAAGACCATCTCCAGAAAGTAAAACAGATATAGTTATTGCCAATGAAGCCGTCAACTCTTCTGCCTCTGTTTCTACGTCAAGGAAAAACAAACAATCTGCGAAAGACAAGGAAAACACTGATGATAATAACATCGAATCTAGCCAAAAAACAGCGAGGAAAACTCCCAGCGTCGGATCAAATTTGCATGAGGAAAACACAGTAAACAGATGTGTTGCTAGCCAACCACAGTCATCGACATCCAGCACAAATAACCAAGGAGCATGGCCAAAAAACACGGTTCTTATCGCAGGAGATAGTATGTTGTCAAACATTCACGAAAACACCCTAAGTCAGCGATACCACACAAAGGTGCGATGCTTCAAAGGTTCTACGATCGCTGATTTGTATGACTATTTGAAACCGTTGATCAAAAAGAAGCCCGCAAAAATCATCCTAATGGTTGGAACAAATGATTTGGTGAACCTGTCAGCCGCTGAAATGACGAAAAGCATCAAATCCCTCTGTGATTGGATACTTGCATCCATTCCAGACTGTAATATCATCGTCTCTGAAATTGTAAGGCGTGAAGATAAAAAGTTCCTTAATGGAAAAGTTAGTGAATTCAACCGTGCTTTGAAAATGATGAACATGGACATTCTGCGCCAACAAAACATCACAAGTACTCATCTGGGTAAGAAAGGGTTACATCTAAATTTCGAAGGCAACAGACAACTTGCCAAGAACATCATAGAAAAACTTCGAACAATATCTTTATAGCAATGAGTTTTATTCGTGTAATGACGGGGAGGGTCTGGTCCCTAATTTCGTTATAAATGCTAATTCCATTTCAAACTCAGAGCCTGTTAACAATTCTAGTAGTGTCGATGAAAATGCCGTTCAAGGGCCTGTTATTTGCCCTTTGAGGCGAAGAAAGGGTGTGACCATGGCATCATTAAATGTAAATAGCCTCATTATGAAGATTGATGAAATAAGGTCGCTTGTAAAAAATGAAAACATTGATATTTTGGCCATAAATGAAACCAAAATCGATCACAAAGTTGACGACAGGCTTATCTCATTAGATGATTTTTCTCTTTGTAGATATGATAGGAGTAGGCGAGGTGGTGGTGTTGCTCTCTATATCAGAAATACAGTCAGGTTTAAACCCCGGGTAGATCTTCCTAATAAATCGCTTGAGTTGATTTGCATAGAGGTAGAGCCCCCGAATTCAAATCCGTTCATTGTCATAGCTTGGTATAGACCACCCAGTGAGCCTAATTCTTGCTTTGACAGCCTTCATGAAAACCTGAGCTTTCTTGATGGAGAGGGGAAAGAAATTATTATTCTAGGAGATACTAACTGTGATTTCTGTTATAGAGACAATACTCCGAGCCATATTATGCAGTTACGTGAGCTGTACGACCTTTTTGATATGAAGCAGATTATTAAAGAGCCCACTAGGGTCACGTTAGATAGTTCAACTTTGATTGATCATATAGCTACCACAAACTGTAACAATATTGCAGAGAGTGGAGTGCTTAAGATTAGTCTTAGTGACCATTATCTTGTATATTGTGTTAGAAAGCTGCGTGGCGGTGTTAAACACCAGCACAAATATATAACATCTCGTCAGTTGAAGAATTTTAATCAAGAGGCTTTCCTCTCAGATTTCTCTGAGGTTAATTGGGAGGCACTTGTAGCTGATGCTCAAGACATTGATGATGCAGTACGCAAGTGGACCCAAATATTTTCGCTTATTCTAGAAAAGCATGCGCCTACATTAAGAAGACGCGTGTCTGATCAGTGGTGGCGCCAGAGGGGGGGCAGGGGGGGCTACAGCCCCCCCGTCGGAGGAGGCTAGCCCCTCCGTCGGAAGATAAATTATGCTTGAATTTTTTTTGTCGGAGCGAATTTTTTAAGTTTTGGCGGAAATAGAAATTTCTAAAAGGACTGTTATCAGAATTCAGGAAGCTCATCCCAAAACAACTCATCGACACATCAATTTCATGGTAAATAATAATCTGTTATAAGAAGTTTGAATTGGTTGTTTAGATGTTCAGTACCAGGTGTTTTCCGCATGCTGTTAAATTTGATCTTATGTTATGGATAGTGCAGTTCGTCCAAATCTTGCTTGCTATAACCAACCTACAACATCGGAATATTTTTGTGCGATAGCGATATGGCAACAAATGTTACCCGTTTCAGTGTTAGATGTAGTATATGTAATGACGTATTTAACAATGATTACGCTGCCCGCCACACGAAGTCCAAGCACAAAGATTTGGCTGCAATGGGAAGGACTGCTCCTACGACGGCAATAGTTGAAACGGACTCGCAGCAGAGAAAAATAAAAACATTTTTTCAATCAAAAGGCGGTACTTTTCCAAAGAAACGAAAGGTTAATGATTTTGAAACTGAAAGAACAACAGAAGACCCCGAAGAACAAGAAGTTGAAATTTCGAAAATTCAAGACGAAGAGCAAATCGAACGTGGTATGTTATACGTTTTAATATTTAAGTCCTTTTAATACGAGGAAAAACACTTAGCAAAGGGCTTCAGCCATAAAAACAATCAAACTCATTTACGTAGTAGCTAAGCCATTTTACCCCATCCCAACCATACATATTTGTAGTGTTTTGCTTCTACGTACACGTTTTTTTATTTATAAGAAACTTGACTCAAGCCCAGAGTACTAATAGTTTCCAAATTTCTTATTTTTTACTATTTTTAAGGGAAACCATCTATTACTATTTACGAGGAGGGGCAAGGGAGGGGGCAAACGTGCCCTTAGTAATATGTCAAAAAACGTAGTAAAAAACACGATTACACCATTTTGATAGCATTTTTAGCCAATCTAATGGGTGTAGCCACCAAAATTTTCCCGGGGGAGTACCCCCGGACCCCCCGAATTTTCGGCTCGCAACGCTCGCCTTCGGTCTCCAGTACCCTTACAATTCCTTGTCGCCCCCTAGCCCTATCGTTCTCTAAAAAAATTAGCCCCTCCGTCGGAAGTGCTAGCCCCTTTGTCGGAGGAAACCTAGCGCCACCACTGTGTCTGATAGATATACGCCTTGGCTGAATGCTGATTATTTCAAATTGGCTAAAACCAGAGATAAGTTAAAAACTCGAGCTGTAAAAACCAACTCAAAATTGTTGATGGAATCCTACAGGCAAATTCGTAACAGGTTAAATAACATGAATACTCAACTCAAACGCGAGTATTTCTCTGAAAAAATCACGCAGTTTCAAGGTGACCTCAAGAAAACTTGGAAAACCATCAACCAAGTCATTAACAAAAAGTCGAACACTACAGTTGTGCCTAACCTTACTGTAGACGGGCAAACAATTAGGGGTAACAAAGCAATTGCATCTTCAATGAATGAGTACTTCTGCAGCATTGGGAATAAACTTAGTGAGAAAATTCCAAAGAAAGCCAATCCACTCTTGTCTGGTGAATACCCGTTTGAAACTCCTCCATTAAGTTTTTCTTTTTCGGCCATCATGGCAGATAAATTATCATCAACCTTGAATAAGATGAAGACATCGCATGATTCAGGTCACGATGGCATTGCGAGCTTTTATTTGAAGATTGCTTTGTCAGTTGTTGGTGGGTCCTTGTGTGATCTCTTCAATAAATCATTGTTTGCAGGAAAATTTCCGGAGGACTGGAAAATAGCGCGTATTGCACCCATCTTCAAGAGTGGCGCAAAGGATGACAGATCGAACTATAGACCAATATCAGTTCTTCCTTTCATATCTAGGCTATTTGAGAAATTAATTTTCAATCAGTTTTATGGATACCTGGATGCGAATAAATCACTATATGAGCATCAGTCGGGTTTTCGACTCTTACACTCGGTAGCCACAGCCCTTCTAGCTAGCACCAATGATTGGTACCTGAATATAGATAAAGGAAAATACACTGGTCTAGTCTTTATTGACTTGAAGAAGGCTTTCGACACGGTCGATCATAAAATCCTACTGGAAAAAATGAATATGTACGGAGTGACCGGCCTGGAACATGACTGGTTCACATCATATTTGGAAAATCGTAAACAATTCTGCAGGGTGGATGGCACCTCCTCTGATGTGAGGGGAATAAATTGTGGAGTTCCCCAAGGCTCTTGTCTTGGTCCACTCTTGTTCCTGATTTACATCAATGATTTGCCTTTTTCCTTGCAAAAATCTCATGTCAGCATGTATGCTGATGACACGGCCATTTCCCTCTCTTCAAAAAGTATTGGTGACCTTCAAAATGACCTAAACTTAGATCTTTTGAAACTACAGGATTGGTTGCATGCAAATAAACTTTCCTTGAACGTAGTGAAAACGCAGTCACTTGTTATAGGCTCTGGTCCAAACATCCGTAAGATCGAAAGCCAGCCTGATGCTCCACCATCTTTTTCTTTTTCAATAGGTGATCAGAACATTGAAATGATCACCAACACAAGATACTTAGGTGTTCAGATAGACAGTAAGCTCAACTGGGACAAGCATATCGATACTATCAAGACCAAGGCTAATCGAGCCCTTGGACTTATTAAGTATTCTAAGAAATATCTTCCATCTGACATCCTCAACAAAATGTATAGAGGAATTGTTGAGCCCCATTTGAGCTACTGTTGTTCCGTTTGGGGCTGCTGTAATGAATCAAAGCTTGACGTGTTGCAAAAAATCCAAAATAGAGCTGCCAGAATTGTAACTAGCAGCCCATACGATGCATCTGCTGCTCCAATAATTCAGAATCTTGGCTGGTTAACCATCAGAAATCTTGTAAGAAAGGAGACAGCCACGCTAACTTACAAATCTCTAAATATGCTTGCACCAGACTATTTGAGAAAATTATTCGAAAAATGTTCGGATGATAGAGAACGGTTTCTGCGTTCATCAGAAACTGATCTTAAGATACCGCTGCTAAGAACAATAAATGGCCAAAAGGCTTTTTCTTATCGCGGTCCAAAACTGTGGAATAATCTAGAAAGGGCTACCAAATTGGCCCCCTCCCTGAAAACCTTCAAAGAACAACTATAGTCGGGGACAACTTTTATTTCATCTTTACGTTCACTTTTTATAGCCTTAGTATTATTAGATATTGTAAATTAGGTTTGATTGGTAAATTTCTTTTGTTACTAGTATTTTAACATAGTTATTAGCTCTTATTTTATTCTTTTAAACAGGTCAGGTTGAAAAACATATGTATGAACCTTTAACCTGTATAAATATTATAAAAAATATTATTATTATAAAAAAAAAATGAAAA